TAGATAGATAGATAGATAGATAGATAGATAGATAGATAGATAGATAGATAGATAGATATCTCAGGATACAGAGATGTCTGTCTTTTACAGGGCTTCTCATTACAGCATGCCTTCAGAGGACTATGCTGGAAAGACGGAACACTCTCTGAAGTAAGTCAGTGCTGACCTGGGGTCAGAGAGGTTGGACAGGCTTTGAAATGGATGAAGCAAGGAAACGGACATCTAGATTCCATTATGTGCTTGGGTGTAGGGGAGAAGACCAACCCTTGCAGAAAGTGATGAACTGGACATTCTTAACAGACCAACTCTACTGTGTGGTTGGGATCTGCAGATTTTCGTGGCCCTCACTGAGAATCCCTTAGACTTCTATCATGAAAAAGCTGCTTAACATTCTAGAAGCTCTGGGCACACCAGGAATGTGGGACATTGGAGGCAAAGGCCAGCTGAAACCCTGGTGCCCTGAGCTGAAAATACCATGGAGATCCTCTCAGAGCCTGCAAATGGGAGGGGGGAAATGACTCACCACACGAGCGTCTCAATGAAAACCAAATTTTTCTGTTTCATTGAAAGTTGGTTTTCAAAAAGTGCATTAGGTCTTTCGCCATGCAAACCCTCTAGCAAAGTACCTGGCTTTCAGCTTTCTTTTCTCCTTTGTTATGTATTCGTTTTGGCTTTTCTGTTTTAAGATCAGTCACATGTAGCCCAGGTTGGCCTTAGTCTGAGGGCGAAGAGGCCTGGTTTTGAACCATTCGGTCTGAACCTGCCTTAGGAGGTCATATCAGACCCATACGTTGGCAGTCGCTCCCTCACACACCTAAATATCACTTGCTTTACTTCAGAGCTAGATGACGACTTGCTCATTCGGTCCTCCACCAACTGTTTATCCACCTTTCAGTAGCCTAGTAACTAGAGGGCGGCAGCAGCTCAGCACATTGCTTCACTTAGACAGAAAGAAATCTTTTTCATCGCAGTCAAAGTGGGCAAAGGGAAGCAGGCAGTTATCAGGAGGAAACACAACTTCTGCTGCTTATCGGGTGTCATGGGTTTTGACCTGCCCTCCAGGAAAGTGAAGCCACAAGTGCAGCTCCGCGGAGCAGAGGGCGCGGCTAGGCGGGCTGGTATTCAAGGATGGGTTTTTGTTTTGTTTTACACAACTCCAACTTTTGGGGCCGGCAGAGCTGCTCAGATAAACTGGGGTGTTTGGGGTGTGGAGGACAGGTTGCCGGAGACGAGCTGCCTGGACAAGGACTAGGGGTACCGGGGAGCAGGGGCTAGATGATGAGGATGAGGTATTGGGGACGCAGTGCCAGGGCCAGGGTTGCTGAGGACCGGTGCCAGGGACCCAGTGTCACGGACAGGGATGTCGGGGGTCGGATGGCAGGGACGCGAGGGCCGTACGTACCCACGACGGTGAGCAGCATGTTGTCCAGCAGCAGCGCGAGGAACACGATGAACAGGATCAGTTTTCGCGAGTGGCGGCTGTCCCGCAGCCATCGTAGCAGAGCCAGCTCGCTCAGGGCCATGGTTCTGCTGTGCTGCAGGTGCGGGTGCGGTCAGTGACTGGGACAGCCAAGGTCCCGCGCCCCACAAAGCACAAGGAGTCGCGTCTACCAGCGGTGGAGCGGGACGACCGGGAGCATCTGGCTCCGCTCACGCGTCCGGATAAACGTCCCTAGGAGAGCCTCCAGAGCCGTCGGGGACCAGACCTGGAACCCAGGGACGCTGCCCCTCACAGCCGCGCCCAAGATCCCCCGCTCAGCTTGGGTCCTGGGATCCCTGGACCCCGCCCACTGCCTCAGAGGACCCCAGAGGGGATCTTTGTCCTCCCCGGTCTCGCGTACCTCCCGGTCGCCTGCGAATGCCTGTTGGGTTCTTGCGCCACACTGCCCTGCCTCGGTCCGTGCGTCCCTGCTGCTCCAGGTCGCCTTCTCCGCCCCAGCGCCCCAGAGCCCTGCTCAGTTTACCCAGTCCGGCTCTGACGTCACGGACAGCGCGGAGCGGGGGCGGGGGGCTGGGGCGCTGGCCTCCGCCCACCCAGAGCCGCCTCTTGTCCCCAGCCTGGACTTCCGTCACGCGCCCACCCTGGCGGACCTCGGGCACTTGTTTAGGGAAGGAGTGGGGAGGGGAGCTGCAGGAGTGGGGAAGGGAGCTGCGGGGGCTTCAGAGGACAGCGACAGGAGTTCAGAACAAGGAGTCAAGGGTCCCTGGCGAAAGAGTCAAGGCCAAGGGTGTGCAGGTACTCGGACTTTCTTCTATCTCCAAGGGAGGCCAGAAGAAATTGTGTGGGTCTTTGAACCACCATGTCCATAAAGTAGCCGGAGATGGCATGAATGAAGGCTGTGGGGCTGTGCCCAGGGTCAGAGTGCAGCTGGGAGGCTAGAGCTCTGGGCACCTTCAAGTGAGATAGAAACAAAGGGAAGGAGGACAAGGCGGGAATGAAGGCAAGTGAGGACCCCCAGGGCGGAGTCCCTGTTTAAGAAAGTGGGGCAGACGATTTGGGACTCAGGGACCACCAAGAGCATCCGTGGGTGGGCGGGAGAGCCTGGAACTAGGAGAGCGTGTGGCAAAGGGTGCTTGACATCTTGATAAAGGAGCCTTCTACCTTCTGTGCTATATGCCTGGGGTATGATTTGGATGGTTAAGCGCGACAGAGCCCCTGAGCCACCGACTTGCTCCGCATGCAAGCACACAATCTTTGGTTAGGAATGCACCTGTGATAGACAGTAGAGAAACATCTACACACACACACACACACACACACACACACACACACACACACACACA